ATTCTCCTTCTTGTTGAGGAGGTTTGGACAGGATTCCCTTTGCACCCTCCCTTTCAGTATGTTCCTTATCTATCCAAGAGTCTGTGCTGTACAGTGATGTTAGGCACACCTGCACCACCAGATACTGAATGCATGAGCTTCCTCATTGCTCACAGCCCTTGCTGGACTGAGGAGTGAGATAAGGACAGGAACAAGCTGGGTTTCCCATATTTCAATGCAGTGCATAGCCATAACACTGGTCTCACCCTAAAGCTGGGGTTCTCAAACTGGGGGTCGGGACCCCTCAGGGGGTTGCAAGGTTATTACATGGGGGGTCGCGAGCTGTCAGCCTCCACCCCAAACCCCGCTTTGCCTCCAGCATTTATATTGGTGTGAAATATATAAAAAATGTTCTTAATTTATAAGGGGGGGGTCGCACTCAGAAGCTTGCTATGTGAAAGGGGTCACCAGTATAAAAGTTTGAGAACCACTGCCCTAAAGAATAAACAAATGGTACCGAGGATTAAACTTTGATGCATGTGCATGTGATCACCTTCTGCCAACAGCAGGAAAGAAAGAATTGCACACACATACAATATCTATACCTATAGCTATTTCATAATTGCATATTATTAAAGTCATAAACATATGCTTCCTTATTTCATTTTGATGCAGGAGTGCTGCAATAATCAAATGTAGCAAGGCTCATGTTAATGATATACAGCATATCTGCAAGAGGCTGTTTATACTGTTTATTAAATTGATCAGAATATAAGGAAGTAGAAAAAAATGAAGCAGTTTGTTTTACCCAGTGAAGTTTGGCCTCTATATAGATTTATCCCAAGTCAAGGGGTTGGACACATGCCTACATATTCTGAAGAAATATGAAATTAGCTAACCATATTTAAGTTTCAGGCAGACTATACAAGATATATATAAATGCATTATGTTGCATTTCATCTTCCATTTTGTTGCCCAGTCACCCAACTTTGTGAGATCCCTCTGTAACTCTTCACAGTCAGTTTTGGACTTAACAATCTTGAATAACTGTATATCATCTACAAACTTTGCCACTTCACTGTTCACTCCCTTTTCCAGATCATTAATGAATATATTGAACAGTAGTGTTTACCTCTCTCCATTGTGAAAACCGACCATTTCTTTAAAACAAACAAGAGGAAGTACTTTTTCACCCAGTGCACAATTAACCTCTGGAACTCATTGCCATGGGATGTTGTGATGTCCAAAAGTATAACTGGGTTAAAAAAAAATAGATAATTTCATGGAGGATAGGTCCATGAGTGGCTATTAGCCAGAATGGTCAAAGAGGCAAAACCATGCTTGGGGGTGACCCTAAACCTCTGACTGCCAAAAGCTAGGAGGGGGAGACAGAGGTGGATCACTTCAACTGTCCTGTTTTGTACACTGTCAGAAGACAGGATACTGGACTAGATGGACCATTGGTCTGCCTCAGTATGGAAGTTCTGATGCAGGCAACCACCAGCAGCACAGGGAATAGCAGCAGGTTCAGCTGGAATGATGGGTGTGGGTGCTTTGCTGCTACTCATGTTGATTAGATATATTTCACTGTATTGTTGAAATCATGTTCTTTCTGACTGACTGTTTTTTCTGTGTCTCCCATCATCTTCACTCCCAAACCCCAAATGTATATATGCATTCGTAGGTTGAATTTCAGTCTCTCCTCTGTCTCACAGGTTGCACAGTCATCCTGCCCCGAGTTTGCACTGTGCTTTGTGTCTCTCGATTCTCACTACAGTCTATGGTCACTCATTCTGTGTTTGATAACTCTGCCTTAGCTTTGTGCATTTCATAGTGGCATAAGGTTGTTGGGGACCCCCCCCCCTAGGCATAGCTACCAGGTAACTCGGGAAAGTGGAAGACCA